CCTTGAGTCTGCAGGCTGACGCTCTATCCACTGAGCCAAACCGGTTAGGGCCATTGTCAAATCTTTGTTGATGTTTTTTTTTTACAGTGCAGAAGATTTTTATTTCAATGTAGTGCCATTGTTTATTTTCTCCTCAGTTTCCTTTGCCCTAGGAGCTGTATCGGTAAACATAGCTACGAGAGATGTCTCAGATTTTGCTGCCTATGGTTTCTTCTAGGATTTTTTCTTGGTTTCATAACTTACATTTAAGTCTTTTATCCATTTTGAGTTTATTCTTGTGTATGGTGTAAGTCTGTGGTCTAGTTTCATTTTTTGCATGTACCTGCCCAATTTTTCCCAACACCATTTATTGAAGAAACTGTCCTGACTCCAATGTATGCTCTTGCCTCTTTGTCAAATATTAATGGAGTGTGATGGCTTGGGTCGATTTCTGGGGTCTCTGCAAAACTTCTTTACCTCATACTATTAAACTTTTGATCACTTCCGATATTTTCCCCTTCCATAGCATTTTTATTTAGACTTCTAACTTCTGAATTCCCATATCTGAAACTATTACATCCTACATCCTGCAATGCAGCCAACAGTCAGAAGAAAGGTTTTTTTCTTCAAAGACACGGCCACCTTTTTTCTCACATATGAGATAAGAAGCAGTGTTTCAATCTTGTTAAGTGGTCCAGATTCATAAGCATAAGTGATTGCCCTGTCATCCTCCCAAATTGTGTTAAGAGAAAAATTATATTGGTGAATCTGCTTGCTTCCTCTATGCCTTACCACATTTTGCTCATGAAAGCTGATGATTTCACTGGAAACAATTTTGAATGTTTATTCATTACAAATACTGTAGAAAATAGAATGCCCCATCCATAATTCTACCACCTAATCAACCCAATACAATTTTTCATTAAATTGCACTGCTGTATCTGATTAGGACATTGTCTGAAAACAATTAATTCACCTCATCTGATGAATAGACAGTAAATTAAAGCATGCTATTTTTAAGCACTACAATATTTCCCTTATCTAGGTGCTCTAAAAGTTAAACAGAATATAATATAAGAAATTTGAATGAACTGTATGATCAGGTAAAAATCAAGTGCATTGTTAAACTTTTACTGATACCAATGCATTTCCAATTTGTAAATAGGAATATAAAATTAATATTTAATTTTAGTGATCAAGATCAAATCTGTACCAGTTAAAAGGGAGGCGCCTAAAGTTTAATGTCCTAAATAAAAACACACACACTCTCTCTCTTCATCCTAGATTTTCAGCCCTCTTTTGAGAATGAATGAAATGATCCATTTTATTGCTGTTTATTCTAAAAGTAAAAGTGAAATATGAGTTTAGCTTAAAGTATATTGCCCTGTTGTCCTTGTCAAAAGTCTACTATGATTTAATTGTCACAATCAGTGTTTCTGTTCAAACAAGTTAATATAATAAATAGCATGGTAACACAGAAAGAATGATTATTTTGGAGTAAATATGATTATTCTTTCCTGTTTTGTTAAATTATTTTGCCTGTGCTTATATATCTGCTGAAGGTGGATGGAAAACAAAATGAGGTACAGACACCTCCTCATAAAGATAGTTAAGTACCTTCATATTTATTTTGGATTTACAATCTGATTGTCTACAATGCTCCGATTGGTATTGAGATTTTATACATAGAGTCCAGATCAAACTTAATATGCTCACTGCCATGATACAATCCCTTGTATATTAATGGAAAATATCATGGGTCTTATAACTATAAACATCTACACTAATAAAAGACAAACATGCAAAGTGACAGTACCTTTGCTACACCTTAAGCCATGCCCACCAGCCAATCAGAGTGACTATATGCACATTAATCCAACCAAGATGGTGGCAGGCAGCCATGGAGCTGGAGTGAGCAGGAGGCTTGGTTGCCCCAATGATGGAGAAAGCCAAACTTCCCACTTGCCATTGCCCTGGCTCTGAGCTCCACTCAAAGCAACAAAGTTTCAATTATAGAAGGTAAATAAACCCCAGATACCTGCTTTCAGCTGGCCGTGGCCACGGAGCTAGAACGAGCAGGAGGCTTGGTTGCCCCTGGCGATGGAGGAAGCCAAGCTTCCCTCCCGCCTGCCCTGGCCAGCTCTGAGCTTCTCTCAAGGCTACAAAGTTTCAATTATAGAAGGTAAATAAGTCCCAGAATAAAAAAAAAAAAAAAAAAAACAGAAAAAGGAGAGGTTGGTAGCTTCCATCTCAGGGGGGTGGGGGGGTTAGGGGGGTGGCCAGCCTGAAAATGGCCCTCAGCCCCTCAACCAGGCTAGCCAGGCACCCAAGCGGGACCCCCACCCTGATCCGGGACACCCTTCATGGCAAACCAGCCAGCCCCCACCCATGCACCAGGCCTCTATCCTATGTAAAAAAAGGGTGATATGCAAACTGACCCTAACAACAGAACTACTGGGAATCACTGGTCACTATGACACACACTGACCACCAAGGGGCAGACGCTCAATGCAGGAGCATCTGCAGGGGGAGCTCTGCTCAGCCACAAGCCAGACTGATGGCTACCAGTACAGCGGTGGTGGTGGGAGCCTCTCCCGCCTCCTCAGCAGCACTAAGGATGTCCGACTGCAGTTTAGGCCTGCTCTCCGCTGGCAAGTGGACATCCTCCGAGGGCTCCCGGGCTGCTAGAGGGATGTCTGATTGCCAGCTTAGGCCCATTCCCCGGGGATCGGGCCTAAGCTAGCAGGTGGTCATCCCCCGAGGGGTCCCAGACTGCGAGAGGGCACAGGCCGGGCTGAGGGACCCCCTTCCCCCCCGCCCGAGTGCACAAATTTTTGTACACCGGGCCTCTAGTATAATTATAAAAGATATTCTATGCCATTATATGTGAAATGTTGTTCAGACTTATTCCTCAGCCCAGATTTGCCCTAGTAGAGAGAAAGTGAGCAGGGAAGTTACGTACTAGTATGTTTGAAGTAAAATCCAAAGGTTGTGTGGCCATTATAATGGCTTTCAGCAAGAGTTCTTTTGGTCTAGACTTAGAAGCATCCTAATTTGATTCTAGATGCATGACTGAAGTGAATAATGCACAGTTTATTCTTGAAAACTTTGGGTTCAGGCATTTTTTAAAGCATTTAATATTTTCTCATGATCACTTTTAATGTGGACCCTTGTCTGTGTTTAAAACATACACACACATTCTCTGAAAAACAGAAAATATAATCAACCAAGAAATCTGTGAACCAAAAGCATCTCCAGGTAAAGTACACATATTGAGCAAAGTTTTACTTTTTAATGTTTTGAGATATTTTTAATCTTGAATTTGGGTACAAAATGTGAAGTAACACCTTGAATTGTTAGTGTCCTGCCATTGCATCATTCTAAATAGGATCTGGAAATGACTAAGGTGAACCATCAGTGGGAAGTTGTCCTCTAAGAATTTGGCAATAAAATATGTGATTTTCAAAATTCCTGTTCCTTTGGGAAGTGCCTGTCTCAAGTCTCAGAAATTCTGTTTCGTCTTTGCATTTATATTTTTATTCAACAAATACTTGTAATGTGTTATAGTGCAACAGAAAGTATATAAAAAGTTGATGTCATATGCTTTTTGTTGACCATAAACAGCTAAATGTTTAGAATAAGAAATAGACAATTTAGGGAAATGTCAAATACAGATTTGTACCAACACATAGAAAGGGTTTTTTTGCATATATATATATATATATATATATATATATATATATAT